TCTCTAACTTCAACCATGATGTCTCTAATTTCAACCATGACGTCTCTAACTTCAACCATGACGTCTCTAGCTTCAGCCATGACGTCTCTAACTTCAACCATGACGTCTCTAACTTCAGCCATGACGTCTCTAACTTCAACTATGACGTCTCTGACTTCAACCATGACGTCTCTAACTTCAGCCATGACGTCTCTAACTTCAACTATGACGTCTCTAACTTCAACCATGACGTCTCTAACTTCAGCCATGACGTCTCTAACTTCAACTATGACGTCTCTAACTTCAGCCATGACGTCTCTAACTTCAGCCATGACGTCTCTAACTTCAGCCATGACGTCTCTAACTTCAGCCATGACGTCTCTAACTTCAGCCATGACGTCTCTAACTTCAACCATGATGTCTCTAATTTCAACCATGACGTCTCTAACTTCAACCATGACGTCTCTAACTTCAGCCATGACGTCTCTAACTTCAGCCATGACGTCTCTAACTTCAGCCATGACGTCTCTAACTTCAACCATGACGTCTCTAACTTCAACCATGACGTCTCTAACTTCAACCATGACGTCTCTAACTTCAGCCATGACGTCTCTAACTTCACCATGACGTCTCTAACTTCAACATGACGTCTCTAACTTCAACCATGACGTCTCTAACTTCAACCATGACGTCTCTAACTTCAGCCATGACGTCTCTAACTTCAACTATGACGTCTCTAACTTCAGCCATGACGTCTCTAACTTCAGCCATGACGACTCTAACTTCAACTATGACGTCTCTAACTTCAGCCATGACGTCTCTAACTTCAGCCATGACGTCTCTAACTTCAACTATGACGTCTCTAACTTCAGCCATGACGTCTCTAACTTCAACCATGACGTCTCTAACTTCAACCATGACGTCTCTAACTTCAGCCATGACGTCTCTAACTTCAACTATGACGTCTCTAACTTCAACCATGACGTCTCTAACTTCAACCATGACGTCTCTAACTTCAACTATGACGTCTCTAACTTCAACTATGACGTCTCTAACTTCAACCATGACGTCTCTAACTTCAGCCATGACGTCTCTAACTTCAGCCATGACGTCTCTAACTTCAACTATGACTTCTCTTGTGTATTGTTTATGTGTGTTTAACTGCTTCACTTCTCTTCTCTTTTCTCACTTCTGTGTCTTTATTATTTTCAACTCGTTCTCCTTCTTGTTGTTGTTGTTGTTCTTCTTCTTCTTTGTTTTGTAAACAAAATAGATGCACACAAACACCAGATATATTTCACACAAACACCAGATATATCTCACACAAACACCAGATATATCTCACACAAACACCAGATATATCTCACACAAACACCAGATATATCTCACACAAACACCAGATATATCTCACACAAACACCAGATATATCTCACACAAACACCAGATATATCTCACACAAACACCAGATATATTTCACACAAACACCAGATATATTTCACACAAACACCAGATATATCTCACACAAACACCTGATATATCTCACACAAACACCAGATATATCTCACACATACACCAGATATATCTCACACAAACACCAGATATATCTCACACAAACACCAGATATATCTCACACATACACCAGATATATCTCACACAAACACCAGATATATCTCACACAAACACCAGATATATCTCACACAAACACCAGATATATCTCACACAAACACCAGATATATCTCACACAAACACCAGATATATCTCACACAAACACTAGATATATCTCACACAAACACCAGATATATCTCACACAAACACCAGATATATCTCACACAAACACCAGATATATCTCACACAAACACCAGATATATCTCACACAAACACCAGATATATCTCACACAAACACCAGATATATCTCACACAAACACCAGATATATCTCACTCAAGCACCAGATATATCTCACACAAACACCAGATATATCTCACACAAACACCAGATATATCTCACACAAACACCAGATATATCTCACACAGAACACCAGATATATCTCACACAAACACCAGATATATCTCACACAAACACCAGATATATCTCACACAAACACCAGATATATCTCACACAAGCACCAGATATATCTCACACAAACACCAGGTATATCTCACACAAACACCAGATATATCTCACACAAACACCAGATATATCTCACACAAACACCAGATATATCTCACACAAACACCAGATATATCTCACACAAACACCAGATATATCTCACACAAACACCAGATATATCTCACACAAACACCAGATATATCTCACACAAACACCAGATATATCTCACACAAACACCAGATATATCTCATACAAACACCAGATATATCTCACACAAACACCAGATATATCTCACACAAACACCAGATATATCTCATACAAACACCAGATATATCTCACACAAACACCAGATATATCTCACACAAACACCAGATATATCTCACACAAACACCAGATATATCTCACACAAACACCAGATATATCTCACACAAACACCAGATATATCTCACACAAACACCAGATATATCTCACACAAACACCAGATATATCTCACACAAACACCAGATATATTTCACACAAACACCAGATATATCTCACACAAACACTAGATATATTTCACACAAACACCAGATATATTTCACACAAACACCAGATATATCTCACACAAACACCAGATATATTTCACACAAACACCAGATATATTCACACAAACACCAGATATATTCACACAAACACTAGATATATTTCACACAAACACCAGATATATTTCACACAAACACCAGATATATTTCACACAAACACCAGATATATCTCACACAAACACTAGATATATCTCACACAAACACCAGATATATCTCACACAAACACCAACGTAAATTTAGTAGAATACAATCAAATCAACTGAGAAACGAGTTGACAGTTAACTGTCGAAGGATCAAATTATTCATTTACATTTATTCCTTGAGAAAAATTTGTCGGTTTCGTAAATCCATTTGGAGCAGAATTTTTCTTCAGTCACGTCGGCAGGAGTCGAACCTTGCAAATAGAATAATTTTCTAAGTAATAAAATATGTACAAATCGGTATTTACTCTTTTATCTTCCATCAAGACAAAGATATATACAAAATAAATAAAAGATTTTTACACAAATATAATGACGAAACAAAAGATCGTAAAAAATGATGAATATAAATTTCAGGCAAAGTTTAGAAAGTTTTCTAAGCGACGTCAACACTGTTGTTGACTTTCATATTGTTGAGGAAGTTTAACCCTTCTGCCTTCCCCCCCCCCCCAACACACCACAACTGCTGGTGCAGCTTTGTATGCTGGACAGTGCTGCGCCCTGGTGGTGGTGATGCACACCAGTGTCACTTGCTGCATGGGACTGTACCCTAGCGATTTTGTCGAGCATCGCCGTCAGGCTGCATAACACTGTACCCAGCGCTCTGGGAACACGCGTGGGCACCAGCTAGTGTCTTGCCCTACCTGGTGAAAGGTGTGACCCCGACCACTCGCCCACATACACACTCTCGCGTCCACCACTGAAGCTACTCATACACTCTGGACGCCACACTATTCACTCTAGAAACACTACATTAACCACATATTTTTGACCCGCCAAATTACTTTTAATGCAACAATCCTACTACACTAGAAGGTTTAATGGATTTTCATTTTGCTATATATAGGGATCCAATCCCAACAGTTCCGCGGGACGCACACTGTCAGCACAGGACAATCAGTGTTGATTTGTAGATGAATGGTTCAGAGAACCGACATGTTGATAAATTAGACACATTGATTGATGGACTGAACACATCGACTCAAGGTTGAGGGACTGATTACCTCATTCTCCTCCTGTTCTTCAAGTTTCTCCTACGTATGGACTGATGAAGCCACTGTGTGGCGAAACGTTTCCTCAATAAAGATACCCAAGAGTTGCATATGTGTCTAATTTATCAATCAGTGTTGACGTTAAAATCATAAAGAAATCTGGAGTTTCCCATTCATTAAATGCTTGAGGTCTCCCAGACATCACATTTACCACTATGTGATTGTCTTAGAACTGTGAGTGGAGTCAAGAGGCTTTGGGTGTTGAATAAGGTGCCCTATAGGTTCGCTGGTAGCGCACTCACCTCACATACTGAGTGTCCGTGGTTCGATCCCGGTGTGGGTGGAAACATTGGGCATATTTCATTACATCTGCTGCCCCTGTTCACCTTAGTCGACTGCTGTGGGTCGCATCCTGGGGTTTGAAATAAGCTGAGGTAGGATAACAGCTCTTAGCCTGTAAAGCTGATTTTTGTGGAAAAAACAAAATCTCATGAAGACTTTAGTCATTTCAAAGGTAAACAAGATCTTGAAAAGCGACTTTGAGATTAAGGTAAAGATAATGCCGACACAGAATGTTTTCCGACACTGTGTTATAGTATACTTCTCTGTATATTGCTTGTGCTTGATTCTTTCAGGTTCACATATTTTATCATTAATATTACCAATCCTAGCAAACGTAACATATAAATTATGCAAAAAATAGCCGATTGTGAAGAGCTAGAAAGTATTGCCAACATCTCTATTGTCACCAGTGCTAATGTTCACCAGTTACTGGAGTGTGCACCACGTAATTTTAATGAAGGAATTCAAGAAAACCGGTTAACTGGATTAAGTTCTGGAGGTGGGAAGTACAGTGCCTACACTCTGAAGGAGTGATGAGCATATTACAATTAGAGGGTCATTTGATTATGGTGTCAGTACACATCTGGAAAGATGACCATTGAATTAATGATGGTGATTTTTTTCTCTTCTTGAGGTCACCTGTCTTGGTGGGAGACCTCAGATGAGTTCAATCATTTATAAATCTTTGTTAAGAGAATATAAGCTCTTGAAAGAGGTTTTTAATATATCCTGATCCTTAACAATGTGTGGAGGTGCACAATGACTCATAATACACACTTTCACTCACCTCTTATATCAGCAGCGTGATGTTGCGTCCGCTTGTGTTGCTGGCTCTGGCGACCGTGGGCGTGCAAGCCAGGAACACCTGGTCATGGGGCCCTGACCAGTCTTCTAGAGTAGCTCCCTCCACGTCTGTGGGTAGATCAGCGACTTCAGCTTCTGGAAGCGCTGACCGGCATGGCAGGTCTTCGGCCACAAGTGACGACGTTGTGTTTCCACCTTCCTCGTCAACAGGATCTTTAACGATAGTTCCAGCACCCTCCCTTGGTTCAATACCTACACATGCTGCGCATTCATTTAGCGGCGCAAGTCAGCCATTATACGAATCGTCTGCACAAGTGCACGTCTCGTCACCAGCAGCGGCGTCTGCTGCTCCACTAGTGACTGGAGAACACCAGCTGGGAGAGAGTCGAACTAGTAGGAAGATCGAGGTATCGGGCGACGGCCAGTCTGAAGGCAGATTGTTTGGAATTAAAGACAAACTCTGTGACGTCGGCCTCGGCTTCGATGTGAGTACATGTTTTAAATATACTTGAAATATGCTGTAAGAGGCACAATACACGTTACATCTCTTTCGCAGGTGTTAATTCATGCGTAAATTTTTATTTGCATTATCTTATTTGGTTTTAAATATTGCACTTAAAAGGAGCATATATGAGATTAAACTGAATTAATATTGTAGAGAAAAATGATTTATAAGTCATGACATTTCTGTTTTCTTCCGAACTAAAGAAACTCTGCTTGTCAAGACATATATGTAAATTTTATTATTCTTTAGTTCTTTTGTCGTATTGAAAGGAATTGAGGATATGTACTAAGGTATATTACAATATTTGTGTTATTTTTAAGATTGTTAACTTGAGTTAAAATATTAACGTTAAGAACTTAGCTTCCTAAAATTGCTAATCTTTGATATGTTATTTTTAATCACCAACTTTTTTTTTTTACAGTGTAAGAAGGGTTACAAAGGCGGCATCAGCCACCACGACATATCTTACGTGCAGCCAGTGCAGGTAGTGCCTTTGGGAGGCCCTATAGCTGCCGTGCCCATCCACCATGACAAAGGTTATGGCCACAAAGGCTACGGCATCCCTCCTCCCATCTATGGCCCCCCTCCTCCCGTATATGCACCTCCTCCTCCCGTATATGCACCTCCCCAACCAGTATACGCCCCTCCACAACCTTCATATGGACCTCCAATATCGAGTTACAGCGAGCCCGTATACCACCCACCTAAAGCCTCCTACCATAGCCCCTCTCTGGTAAAGCATGTGCACACCCACCACCACGTCTACGATGGACAGGGGTCATATGGAGGAGGCATCACCTACGCCAAGGACAACACTTATAGTGGAACTCAGACACATACTGTCTCTTCCAGCTCATCCTTCGACTCTCTGGAGAACTTTAATAACTTCGGAAGTTTTCCCCATGGAAGTATTGACAAGTAGGAAAGCCTCTGCCTGTTGTTGCTCCCCGTCCAGGTCCTCCCTATCAACAGGACTGCCAGTGTGTGGAGTTTAGGTACTGCGCAGTCCACGATATCATCGGCAGATCCAGTAATGACTTACATCCCCTCATCGACGCCCGTAGCAAAAAAACCGACATCTTGTCAACAGCTTCTGATTCTGACAACACTTCTGAAGAAAATCAAGTCTTCTCTGCTTCTGAAGGCAGACATCTTGTTGCGGAGGTAGTGAAGAAAGTTGCAGAGAACAGCACTAGTGAGAGGACGAAGAGAGACACTATGGTGTTCAGGGATAAACCCAGGGACGCAAGGGACACAATGATCTTCAGGGACGACACCAGGGCTTCCAGTTTCTCCGGGCTCTCTGTGGCCCCTAGACCCGCGATAGCCACCAGCCGTCAAGGGGTGAGTTGTGACAACATTCACACTTTGTTTATCTTTATGATGTGTACCAGTCCACGGCTCGAGCACTCACTGTTCCACATTTTATATGTTTTCGCCCTTCAAGGAAAGTTCTTTGATGTTGGTGAAGTGCTCTCGATCCCCCAAAAATTATTATATTTCCTGGTGAGAACTAAACCTTAGAGATATACAGTATATTCTTGATGCACAAATAGTATATACATTGTGAGCAACTCTCGGCTGTTTAGCAGGACTGGCAATTATCTACATACAGCAATCCAAAATACCTAGAACTCAACACTGGTCTTTGAGTTCCTTTGAAACAAAGAAATATTCATTTGCAGAGAGAGTATTCGTACACTAGTCCATAGCCAATAGCTTGCCTACCAGTGTGGTCGTGGCCACCAGGCCATGTTAAGTATGGTCGTGGCTACCAGGCCATGTTAAGTATGATCGTGGCTACCAGGCCATGTTAAGTATGGTCGTGGCTACCAGGCCATGTTAAGTATGGTCGTGGCTACCAGGCCATGTTAAGTATGGTCGTGGCTACCAGGCCATGTTAAGTATGGTCGTGGCTACCAGGCCATGTTAAGTATGGTCGTGGCTACCAGGCCATGTTAAGTATGGTCGTGGCTACCAGGCCATGTTAAGTATGGTCGTGGCTACCAGGCCATGTTAAGTATGGAGTAGTGGATACCGAATATTTTTTAAAATAATTAATTGAACTCTTTTAAAGAGAAATATGTGACTCCTGGCCTCTGGTCAGCAAATAAACTTGCACTGCACACACAAGGTGTGTCACTGGTAGGAAGCCCTAAGTTGCTACTCCCGTTGTTAAAACCGTTTTCTTTGTATATTATGTCTGTAGTAAACGATAACTCGAGGCCTCCTACGAGTGAAATAGCCATTATGTTGATGAACATTCTTTGGTATTAACAGAGTTCACTATAACGTTATAGTATAATAATAATTAGAAAAAAAAAACATTAAGAATGATGTATTATTTTATATTATAGGCAAAATTCAGTGTTCCATAATGTTTAATGCTTCATTCACACATTTGATGTCAGCTGCAACTGGTGTCCAGACAGCCACTGTAGTAACACCTCTCCTCTCACTCTCCTGCATCACCGCATCCTCTTCATTTCAACTCTCATATTTTAAAGTTCTTCTTTACCTACTTGCTTAACTCCAGATTTTCATGGTATAAACTGTTTCTGTCCCTAAATGGTCTCCATTTCAGCCTGAGTAAACTTTGAAGTTAATCATATTCCAGATCACTACACTGTCCTTCTTTACTGTATCATATCTCCTGGATCTAAAATATATTTCTAAGTCCTTCTTTCATGCATTGCTCATTCTCTCCCATGAAAGTCTCTACTTTCATTGAAATTAAGTATTTTTTTTTACTACTCACTGAGCAAATAAAAAGTTAAAAGTGTCGCCAGCTAGTTAAAAGTGCGTCTTAAATACAGTGTTCAAGCAGATTATAAATTTCTTGTGATAAGTGATAGTATTCCTAATAGATTAACGCGTACGCGCCGGGAGTGAGCGGTTGTGCTGGTAACCACGTCTGCTGTCGCCGTCCCTCGTTCCGTCAGCAGCGGGAGATCGGGTCTTGTGGTCGTCGCAACTCCGTAGGCCTGCTGGGTCGCGTGAAGAACCACGATCTTCAGCAGGGAGACACAGAGTTTGGGGAGTACCCCTGGCAGGCGGCTATCCTCAGGCGGGAGACAGGAGAGAGTGTTTATGTGTGTGGAGCTGCGCTAGTAGACAGTCAGCACCTGGTCACCGCTGCCCACTGCATCACCGGGTTAGTACCTACTTAGTTCCCACTGCATCACCGGGTTAGTACCTACTCAGTTCCCACTGTATCACCGGGTTAGTACCTACTCAGTTCCCACTGTATCACCGGGTTAGTACCTACTTAGTTCCCACTGCATCACCGGGTTAGTACCTACTCAGTTCCCACTGTATCACCGGGTTAGTACCTACTTAGTTCCCACTCATCACCGGGTTAGTACCTACTTAGTTCCCACTGCATCACCGGGTTAGTACCTACTCAGTTCCCACTGTATCACCGGGTTAGTACCTACTCAGTGCCCACTGTATCACCGGGTTAATACCTACTCAATGCCCACTGCATCACCGGGTTAGTACCTACTCAGTTCCCACTGTATCACCGGGTTAGTACCTGCTCAGTACCCACTGTATCACCGGGTTAATACCTACTCAATGCCCACTGCATCACCGGGTTAGTACCTACTCAGTTCCCACTGTATCACCGGATTAGTACCTACTCAGTTCCCACTGCATCACCGGGTTAGTACCTACTCAGTTCCCACTGTATCACCGGATTAGTACCTACTCAGTTCCCACTGCATCACCGGGTTAGTACCTACTCAGTTCCCACTGTATCACCGGATTAGTACCTACTCAGTTCCGACTGCTTCACAGGGTTAGTACCTACTCAGTTCCCACTGCATCACCGGGTTAGTACCTACTCAGTTCCGACTGCATCACCGGGTTAGTACCTACTCAGTTCCCACTGCATCACCGGGATAGTACCTACTCAGTTCCCACTGCATCACCGGGTTAGTACCTACTCAGTTCCGACTGCATCAAAGGGTTAGTATCCAGTTCCCAGTACATCACCGGGTTAGTACCCACCCGGTTCTCACTGCATCACCGGGTTAGTACCCAGTTCCCAGTACATCACCGGGTTAGTCCCCACCCAGTTCCCACTGCATCACCGGGTTAGTACCCAGTTCCCACTGCATCACCGGGTTAGTACCCAGTTCCCAGTACATCACCGGGTTAGTCCCCACCCAGTTCCCACTGCATCACCGGGTTAGTCCCCACCCAGTTCCCACTGCATCACCGGGTTAGTCCCCACCCAGTTCCCAGTACATCACCGGGTTAGTCCCCACCCAGTTCCCACTGCATCACGGGTTAGTCCCCACCCAGTTCCCAGTATATCACCGGGTTAGTCCCCACCCAGTTCCCAGTACATCACCGGGTTAGTCCCCACCCAGTTCCCACTGCATCACCGGGTTAGTCCCCACCCAGTTCCCAGTACATCACCGGGTTAGTCCCCACCCAGTTCCCAGTACATCACCGGGTTAGTCCCCACCCAGTTCCCACTGCATCACCGGGTTAGTCCCCACCCAGTTCCCACTGCATCACCGGGTTAGTCCCCACCCAGTTCCCAGTACATCACCGGGTTAGTCCCCACCCAGTTCCCAGTACATCACCGGGTTAGTCCCCACCCAGTTCCCAGTACATCACCGGGTTAGTCCCCACCCAGTTCCCACTGCATCACCGGGTTAGTCCCCACCCAGTTCCCAGTACATCACCGGGTTAGTCCCCACCCAGTTCCCAGTACATCACCGGGTTAGTCCCCACCCAGTTCCCAGTACATCACCGGGTTAGTCCCCACCCAGTTCCCAGTACATCACCGGGTTAGTCCCCACCCAGTTCCCAGTACATCACCGGGTTAGTCCCCACCCAGTTCCCAGTACATCACCGGGTTAGTCCCCACCCAGTTCCCAGTACATCACCGGGTTAGTACCCACCCAGTTCCCAGTACATCACCGGATTAGTCCCCACCCAGTTCCCAGTACATCACCGGGTTAGTCCCCACCCAGTTCCCAGTACATCACCGGGTTAGTCCCCACCCAGTTCCCACTGCATCACCGGGTTAGTCCCCACCCAGTTCCCACTGCATCACCGGGTTAGTCCCCACCCAGTTCCCAGTACATCACCGGGTTAGTCCCCAACCAGTTCCCAGTACATCACCGGGTTAGTCCCCACCCAGTTCCCAGTACATCACCGGGTTAGTCCCCACCCAGTTCTCAGTACATCACCGGGTTAGTCCCCACCCAGTTCCCAGTACATCACCGGGTTAGTCCTCACCCAGTTCCCAGTACATCACCCGGTTAGTCCCCACCCAGTTCCCAGTACATCACCGGGTTAGTCCCCACCCAGTTCCCAGTACATCACCGGGTTAGTCCCCACCCAGTTCCCAGTACATCACCGGGTTAGTCCCCACCCAGTTCCCACTGCATTACCGGGTTAGTACCCACCCAGTTCCCACTGCATCACCGGGTTAGTACCCACCCAGTTCCCACTGCATCACCGGGTTAGTACCCACCCAGTTCCCACTGCATCACCGGGTTAGTACCCACCCAGTTCCCACTGCATCACCGGGTTAGTACCCACCCAGTTCCCACTGCATCACCGGGTTAGTACCCACCCAGTTCCCACTGCATCACCGGGTTAGTACCCAGTTCCCACTGCATCACCGGGTTAGTACCCAGTTCCCACTGCATCACCGGGTTAGTACCCAGTTCCCACTGCATCACCGGGTTAGTACCCAGTTCCCACTGCATCACCGGGTTAGTACCCAGTTCCCACTGCATCACCGGGTTAGTACCCAGTTCCCACTGCATCACCGGGTTAGTACCCAGTTCCCACTGCATCACCGGGTTAGTACCCAGTTCCCACTGCATCATACCACCACATCATTCACATCTACATCACGTTCATAACACTACACATTTTTATCGAATCATAACAGCTTACAAAAAAAAAATATGTATTTCCCGTTTGACGTAATACAAATAATTAATTGATTTATTATGATCTTCTTGGTGGTCAAAATTATCAGAAAACTTCTGTTTTTCACCACTTAAAGGATCAAAATTAGTTTGTGTTTGTCCAGTTATTGTATGAGATTTTAACGACGTGTTTAGAAGGGAATATTTAAGTGGATGAAGATTATCAAAGTTAACGACGTGTTTAGAAGGGAATATTTAAGTGGATGAAGATTATCAAAGTTAACGACGTGTTTAGAAGGGAATATTTAAGTGGATGAAGATTATCAAAGTTTGTATATTGTAATATAATATTTATTGTTTATATGATGTAATATTTTATTATTATCTTCTCTAATATAATATTATAGTGTTACCTTCTATGTAATATTGTTAGCTTCTATAATGTAATATTAGATCCCTTAAACAGGACGAACTGAGAGTACCTGTCGGATATCTTCTTGTTCCTCCAGACTTTTCCTGATAACGCCTCCTCTGATAGGCTTCAAACTTTCACCACTGACATATCTTACGTAAACTGACAGAACACTCTACAGTGTTGCCAATTTGCCCCCTTTTTTTAACAGTAAAATGCTGAATAATAACTTAATTATGCCTTTTCTGAATGACTTGAATCTCGAGTTGCAACTCTGTCAACTAAGTCAATATTATTTGTGTGTGTGACCCTGGAAAATGTCTTTCCAGGTCGGGTTGAAACTTTTAACGCAGTCTTTTTTATTAAAGTGAGGAATGTGGCAGATAAACGAACAGTGAAATAAATATATACGTTAAAAAAAGACAAAAATAAAAAAATGACGTTGTAATATAAGCATTTGAGGTATTAAATAATATGTTATACTACTGTTTGGGTTCTGTCAGGATCATTATGAGATGGTGAAATAATCATCAAGGCAGGACCCAAACGTCTCCTAGTTTACATGTCCACTTTGCCTTGTACCTTGCCATTCCAGTACCTGCCTTGTACCTTGTCATTCCAGTACCTGCCTTGTACCTTGCCATTCCAGTACCTGCCTTGTACCTTGCCATACGAGCACCTGACTTGTACCTTGCCATGCTGTCGTACCTGCCAAACACCAACGAGTGAGTGGAAACGTGTTAGTTGGATATATTTGTGTTACAGGTTGTCTCCAGGTGAGCTGAAGGTGCGGCTGGGGGAGTGGGACGTGGGAGGTGACACAGAGTTCTACCGCTACGTGGAGAGCCCCGTGCTCGGTCTTTATCCACACCCGGAGTTCTATGCTGGAAACCTCAACAACGACATCGCCATTGTCAGGATACAGACTCCCGTCGACTTTGTCACTAAGTGAGTGTCGCCCTACCCACCCGTCTAACCTTTTAAGCAGTATGTATTGTATATTTATTTAATCTCTCGTGTATACGTGTTAATTATTTACTTTTTAGGTAATTATTGTATAATTTTCTGAACTGTTTATAGTGCAAAATAAATGGAGTGCTTCAAGTGCATAATATATTATTCGGGTTATGTATACTAAATAATTACAAAGTTTCTGCCATTCTTTCAGTTGAATGATCCGCACACACTTGTCGCTTCAACTAAATGTGCAATAAAATACTTTTGCAGAGTGTAAAATAATTAACTTATGTATATCGTGTATAATACCCGACTTTGTTTCCCACAGTCCACACATCTCGCCCGTGTGCATGCCAGACCGCTTCTCCAGCTTCTCTGGTCAGCGCTGCTATGTATCAGGCTGGGGTAAAGACGCCTTCGGAAACAGAGGCAACTTCCAGCACCTGCTGAAGGAGGTGGACCTGCCAGTGATAGATCAGTCAGTGTGTCAGTCTGCACTCCGCAACACCAGGCTGGGTCCACAGTTCACGCTGCACTCTGGCATGATCTGTGCTGGAGGCGAGGAAGGCAAGGACGCCTGCGAGGTTAGTCTGGTCTCACAGGTCAATGTTAGCGTAAATGTAATCCCTTAGAGGGAGAGGCGCGTCGTCTGGTCTCACAGGTCAATGTTAGCGTGAATGTAATCCCTTAGAGGGAGAGGCGCGTCGTCTGGTCTCACAGGTCAATGTTAGCGTGAATGTAATCCCTTAGAGGGAGAGGCGCGTCGTCTGGTCTCACAGGTCAATGTTAGCGTGAATGTAATCCCTTAGAGGGAGAGGCGCGTCGTCTGGTCTCACAGGTCAATGTTAGCGTGAATGTATATCCCTTAGAGGGAGAGGGGCGTCGTCTGGTCTCACAGGTCAATGTTAGCGTGAATGTAATCCCTTAGAGGAGAGGCGCGTGTCTGGTCTCACAGGTCAATGTTAGCGTGAATGTAATCCCTTAGAGGGAGAGGCGCGTCGTTGGTCTCACAGGTCAATGTTAGCGTGAATGTAATCCCTTAGAGGAGAGGCGCGTCGTCTGGTCTCACAGGTCAACGTTAGCGTGAATGTAATCCCTTAGAGGGAGAGGCGCGTCGTCTGGTCTCACAGGTCAATGTTAGCGTGAATGTAATCCCTTAGAGGGAGAGGCGCGTCGTCTGGTCTCACAGGTCATGTTAGCGTGAATGTAATCCTTAGAGGGAGAGGCGCGTCGTCTGGTCTCACAGGTCAATGTTAGCGTGATGTAATCCTTAGAGGGAGAGGCGCGTCGTCTGGTCTCACAGGTCAATGTTAGCGTGAATGTAATCCCTTAGAGGGAGAGGCGCGTCGTCTGGTCTCACAGGTCAATGTTAGCGTGAATGTAATCCCTTAGAGGGAGAGGAGCGTCGTCTGGTCTCACAGGTCAATGTTAGCGTGAATGTAATCCCTTAGAGGGAGAGGCGCGCTCGTCTGGTCTCACAGGTCAATGTTAGCGTGAATGTAATCCTTAGGGGAGAGGCGCGTTCGTCTGGTCTCACAGGTCAATGTTAGCGTGAATGTAATCCCTTAGTGGGAGAGGCGCGTCGTCTGGTCTCACAGGTCAATGTTAGCGTGAATGTAATCCCTTAGAGGGAGAGGCGCGTCGTCTGGTCTCACAGGTCAATGTTAGCGTGAATGTAATCCCTTAGAGGGAGAGGCGCGTCGTCTGGTCTCACAGGTCAATGTTAGCGTGAATGTAATCCCTTAGAGGGAGAGGCGCGTCGTCTGGTCTCACAGGTCAATGTTAGCGTGAATGTAATCCCTTAGAGGGAGAGGCGCGTCGTCTGGTCTCACAGGTCAATGTTAGCGTGAATGTAATCCTTAGAGGGAGAGGCGCGTCGTCTGGTCTCACAGGTCAATGTTAGCGTGAATATAATCCCTTAGAGGGAGAGGCGCGTCGTCTGGTCTCACAGGTCAATGTTAGCGTGAATGTAATCCCTTAGAGGGAGAGGCGCGTCGTCTGGTCTCACAGGTCAATGTTAGCGTGAATGTAATCCCTTAGAGGGAGAGGCGCGTCGTCTGGTCTCACAGGTCAATGTTAGCGTGAATGTAATCCCTTAGAGGGAGAGGCGCGTCGTCTGGTCTCACAGGTCAATGTTAGCGTGAATGTAATCCCTTAGAGGGAGGAGGCGCGTCGTCTGGTCTCACAGGTCAATGTTAGCGTGAATATAATCCCTTAGAGG